GATTTCTCTTAAACTGGGACATTTCACAATGATGAAAAAGACTGGATTAGAATTTTCCCCAAAAAAAAAAGAAACACAATATAAATCAATTTTCATAATGTATTTTATATGAACCAAAACTTAGGTTACACTTGCAACTATATATTAATTCGTCGGACAACGAATTAACAAGGAATTGGGACTTAACTTTGTAATCAAACTGTAAAAGGGCATGATCTGACAATTCTGATTCCACATTTGCCTTTTGACAAGACAATTATAACAAAAGAAAAATTCTAGGTTTCATCATCTATTCCCCCGAAGCCTCTTATACTGCTTTTTAATTTTTTTTTCCTCTAAGATTTTATTTATTTCTTTGACAGGGAGAGTAGCAGAAGGAGAGGGAGAAGCAGGCTCTCCCCTTAGCAGGGAGCCCAATGCACAGCTTGATCCCAGGACCCCAAGCTCATGACCTGAGCCGAAGGCAGATTCTAAGTGGCTGAGAGCCACCCAGGCACCCTTGAAATTCTTATAAAGCATCTCTTTCATCACCATCCCTGCTGGTTTTCTAAAAGTTAATTGGTTTAAACTGCTAAATTCTCACTAGCACCCACATAACCACTGCCCAACTCAACATAACAGGAAGAACATTTCCAACACTCCAGAAGGCTCCTGGAGGAACCACCATTCTGACTTCTATCACCAGGAAATAGCTGTACCTATATTTGGACTTCATTTAAATGGAATCATATGGTATGCAACCTTTTGCCTGTCTCATTATGGCTACTGTGGGTATATCGGTAGTTCATTCTTTAACTGCTTTTGTAATGTTTCCTTTCATAAACATACCACAATTTACTCATCTATTCTGCTAATGTACCTGGCGTTTTGTCTAATTTTTAGCTATTATGATTAAAGGTTCTATGAACATTGTTTTACTTTTTTGGTAGACATACACAGCCATTCCTCTTGGGTATATCTAGAAATGGAATTGATGGATCATAGGTAAGATCAGAGTCACAGCTTTCCAAAATGATTGTACATTCCCACCAACAACAGGCATGAGATTCAATTGCTCTACAATTCTGGCATTAACAATCTTTTTAATTTTAGACATTCTGGAAGGTGTTTAGTAGCTCACTGTTTTAATTTCCATTTCTCCTTCTGGAGTCTCCATTTGGGACTAATAATGTTGCACACCTTTTTCTATGCATAGAGACCATTCAGAAATCCTCTAGTAGAAGATGCCTGTTCAGAACTTCTGTACATCTTTTAAATTGTCTTTGTCTTATTAATTTTATACATACAAACACACATCCACATACATATTTTGGGTAGGAGTCCTTGGTCCTTGCAGATATAGGAACTGCAAATTTCTTCTTCCATTCTGTATTTTGCCCTTCATTTTCCTAATAGCATCTTTAGATGAAGAGTTCTCAATTTTAATGAAGACTGTGGGAAATGTATCAATCACTGTCACAGTCATTGCTTTTAGAGTCCTTTTTAAGAAATATATTCTAGTAGTACCAGGGTATTCGTTCTTTGACTTGTGTTTATGCTTTGAACAGTTCTCAACCCTGCTCTGAAAGCATGAAATCCTGCATCTTGGGATGCCTGAGTGGCTCAGCAGTTCAACAACTGCCTTCAGCTCAGGGTGTAATCCTGGGGTCCCCCCCATTGGGCTGGGCTCCCTACAGGGAGCCTGCTTTTCCCTCTGCCTATGTCTCTGCCTCTCTCTCTCTCTCTCTCTCTCTCTTTCTCATGAATAAACAAATAAATCTTTAAAAAAAAATCCTACATCTTTACAAGGTTTCCAGTTTCACTTTGCAGTCAATTTAGAACACATTCACTTGTGATATGTTGTCAGATACTAGACAACTCTAGGTTTATGAATGACTGAAGATCAGTTTTACAACTAGAGAATTCATGTGGGATTACTTCCATATTATAATGGACTTCTATACATGTATATTAAAAACCTAACATATCAACAGATGTTAGATGATTCGTCCCACTCCCTTTGAGTGGCTTTGCTCCAGCGGAGCCACCTTTACACTAGACCCTGCTGACTTTTACAACATAATTGAGTTTTCTGTAGTCTACGAAACCAGAAGCCTACAGGAAGTTATAAACCTGGTTCTATTAAATCTTATTTAAAAAAAAAATCTTATTGACCCAACAACCTCAAAGGGTTTACAATTCGCCCAAAACCCAGCAACAAAGAATTTTCTTAAATGAATTAACAGCACCTCCAATCTGCAACCATATTGTTCCCAAAAAACAAAACAAATAAAAAAACACCTGACTCTTTACTTGCTTAGCAAGTGTTCCCCTCTCCCATCCTATTATTCTTCACACCCAGTCTTCCATTCTGCTTTCAAATTGTGTGTGGTGGACTCTGAACTCTGCTCTGTCAGTTAATGCCATGGTTCACTCCCTCACTACCTTTTGCTTGGAATATGGAAACTGGGGATGCCTGAGTGTCTCAGCAGTTGAGCATCTGCCATCGGCTCAGGGCGTGATCCTGGAGTCCTGGGATCGAGTCCCGCATCAGGCTCCATCAAGTCCCGCGTCAGGCTCCCTGCATAGAGCCTGCTTCTCTCTCTGCCTATGTCTCTGCCTCTCTCTGTCTCTCATGAATAAATAAAAGCTTAAAAAAAAAAAAAGGAATATGAAAACTGTCCTTAGCTAGTCTCCTTACATTCTTTCACCATGTCACCAGTCATCTCTCCAGAATACAAAGTTGATTATATTACTCATTTGATTAAGATCTTTCTACAAGTCCCACACGCCACATGATAGTCACTCTCTCAGCTGAGAATTCACAATCTTTCCTGTGTTCTCTCAGCAACTACGGCAAAACTCTGGTCTGATCCCTGGACACCCATGTACTCTCACTCACCAGACTCTCCACTGCTAACTCCTCCGGCTAGAATCCCTTTCTCCTTTACCCTGCAGTTAGCTCCCTTCTTATCTTGGCCAGGGCCACCCCAACAAAACCAACTATTCTCTTGTATGTGTTCCCACAGCTATCTGTACCCACCACAACTATATCTAAGTCCTTCTCACACTGCATTAGTTAATTATTTATCAGTTTGTCTCATTCACTGGTCTACAAACTCCTGGACCTAGGACTTCTCCCTGGACTTTCTGGAAGCATAAGGTCAGGAATTAATTTTTATAAGCCAAAGACGTGGCAGGTCAATTCTATAAAGGCTCAAAGAAAGAATCAATGTCCCAGCCACTTTTATTCCTATCCTTTTTTTCTCTATAAATAGAGACTAGAATACTTTATACAAATATGTCAAAGCAGTGAACCTACCATAAGTTTTCTTTCAAAAATCACCCCTCAAGTTATTCTTCTCATTTAATAAAAACTAAAACCTTCCTTAATTATTGATTTGTGCTTCCTGTTAAAAAATTAATCAACCTTTTGTTTTGCAATGATTTTTTTTTTAAAGATTTATTTATTTATTCATGAGAGACAGAGAGAGAGAGGCAGAGACACAGGCAGAGGGAGAAGCAGGCTCTATGCAGGGAGTCTGACGTGGGACTCGATCTTGGGTCTCCAGGATCACACCCTGGGCTGAAGGCGGCGCTAAACCCCTGAGCCACCCGGGCTGCCCTGTTTCGCAATGATTTTTAAAATAAAGGGTGTCAAAAGTAGGATGAATATACCACTTAACCGAAGTAACTATAGTTATCACCATAAAAATCACTATTGGATGCCAATGGAATCAAACACGATTACTAACACAAAATATCACAAACAAAATATTTCATTGAAAAATGTATTCCTATATATCCCCTTAACACATACTAAATTTGTATGATATAGGAAGATGGTATGCATGATGGTAAGAACACAGTTGTTCAATTTGGTGCCTCAGTTTCCTCATCGGTAAAACAAAGATGAGAAAGTTGCTAGGTGACTCAGCACACAGAACGTCCTTGGCTGCGTAATCGCACAGTAAGAAGTAATCACAAAGTAAGAAATGTCACCTGTTATGCCTTCATTTTTCACTTTTTTTTAAGCCCTTTCATTATATATTGTCTTGGTTTTTTTCCATCACAAATGTACAATGAGATTGTTTGGACAAGAAATGCTTTGCCCATTTCAGAGATAAGATACTGACAAACAGGTTGTTATATGATTTCCCTAACATATTTTAAATGGCAGAGTAGGAACTAGAAAGCACAACTACCCCAACCCCAGGCCAAACTGACCAAATCTCCAGGTAGCATTCTGGAATAAAGTCTTTGGGGTTTTCCACCAGTGTTTCCTCTTGGTGGTGAGCAACGGCCAGCCAAAACACCTGGTAGGAGCGGATGAACTACATCATTCGCTCAAATTAAAAGGTAGGAGAAGCCTCTTTCACAGTGCCTGACACACAGTGGGCACTCCAAAGGCAGGAACTACTGATGACTGAAACACAAAGCGCTACTATGCTTTCTCAGCGACAGAACAAGGCACTCTGCAAAAATCAAGCCTGCTACCCCCACACACACCAAAAAAAAAGTCATTTGATATTATGCTTACCTGTCACATCAAAGTATAATGTGGCAACAAAAACCTTCTTAAATAACAACTTTTATAAAACGGATAATTTCCTTTTAGTCTCAAAAATCAAGTTTTGCAAAAAGGATTTTCACTAAGGCACTTTTTTTTTGGTAAATTATGTTTCATTACATATCTATGCCCAAATAAGTAACATTAATAGACCATATTTCATCTCTGGAAGGCCTTCACCGTACTTCCCATCACTTCCCTAGGCTTGAACGGAATCCCAATCCTCAGCCTCATCTACAGCCCCGAGCACGAATACAGCTGGTGAGCTTCGAAGGCAGAGCCAATATTCCAGGGAACCCACCTGAAGCAGGTACGCAGGTAAGCACGAGGAAGGAAGGTCTCTAAGTCACTCAAGTGCCCTATCTTTTTGATCCTTCCCTTTCATAGGCAGGCCGAAGCTAAGACACACGTTAAGGATCGGACTTGACATCAGCTCCCGGCTGGGGCCTACCTTTCCTTTCGTGGCCCCACCGCTCTGGCACCTTTGGGTGCAGGCATCTGGCGCCTGAAGGAGACACTGGTTAGGGCTCCACGGCCCACGGCCAAGCCTCGCACGCGGCGGACAGTCGGGGACGTTTTGCACCTGTGGTTTAACAAAGCAGCTCCGGGACCTTCCCGGTCGGGGGCAGGACGGTCTCGACGGCAATCTGTGAACGCCGACGGGACACCTGGCCCGCCCTCCTCCCTCCTCCCCCCGCCCTCCTCCCCGCTCCGAGCCGGCCCGGGCCGGCCTCGAGCCCCCGACGCCTCCGCCCGCCTGCGGGCGCCGCGTCCCCGCGCCCCACCCCTCACCTGGGCCCGCGACGCTGCCACCTGCGTCGGGCCCCCAGTTTCTGGTCAAGCGACCGTTACCTGGGCCACAGCCCGGGGAGGCCGGCGGCTCGGGGGCAAGAGCGCGTGGGGCTGCTCCCCCTCCGCCAACGGGGGGATTCCCCCCGGCCGACGCCGCCATTTTACCGGCGCGGAACCCCCACCTGACAGGTCAGGCCTCCCACCTGTGACCAGCAGAGGACGTCGCGCTTCGCCGTAGGGGGCGCGTGGACGCGCTGAAGAATCCGCGGGGGTCACAACCTCCGAGCAGAACCCGCCGCTAATTCATCCCGAAGCGGGGAGGCGTCCGGCCCGTCGCCCTAGTAATGCGTCCCGGCAGGCTCCGTCCTGATTGGCTGCGGGCGCCGTGACGCGGCGGCGTCCCCGGCTGCGTGGGAAGCCCGGGTCCCCGGCGCCCCGCCCCCGCTCCCCTGCGGGGGGAGGGGGGCACTCGGGACGCCCTTAGTCGTGGGCTCCCTTAAAGGGGCCGCGCACTCTTCCTCGTCTGGCCTCGGGGAGAGCGGGGCGGTGTAGGGGCGACAAACTAGAGCAGTAAGAAACCCACGGAGGGCACTGTCCCAGGGAACCTACTCGTCCAGCCAGCCCTTAAGAGTTGCAGAGTGCAAAACAGAAATCTGGGGGGGATTTCATTTACAAGCCTAATTTATAGCCTGAGGTCCCGGGGCAAATGAGTAGTAGAACCAGTTCTAGAACTCGGGCTCCTGATGCGCAGGGCCAAGTGCTCCCTTGCAGGCACAGTATTTCCCCACTCCTAGAGGAACCCGCTCCTCCGAGCGCCGCGGCCTGACGTCACGCCCTTGGTAAAAGGTGTTCATCACTTTCTACTGCGGCGGACCCACTAGACCCGAAAGCTCCATAGTGGTGAGGACTGTGGTTAAACCTCTCCGTTTCCTACACTGCGCCTTCTCCTGCTGGCCTTCAACGAAGATTCACAGAGTACGAAAATATATAAAACATAATAAACATAGTCACCCATCACACACATTGCCATGTATGTTTATGTATTTTATTCTACAAGGCACGGGGGCGGGGCGAGGAATGGATTTTTTTTTTTTTTATGATAGTCACAGAGAGAGGGAGAGAGGGAAAGACACAGGCAGAGGGAGAAGCAGGCTCCACGCACCGGGAGCCCGACGTGGGATTCGATCCCGGGTCTCCAGGATCGCGCCCTGGGCCAAAGGCAGGCGCCAGACCGCTGCGCCACCCAGGGATCCCGATGTTGTTGTTTTTTAAGCGGAAAGTTCGTGTCCTGGCAAAATGTATAGTGTAATAATGGACATCCAGATGTGGGATGCATAGCTTCCGTAAGGCTGAATTAACAACCCCCTCACCCCCGATTTCTTTGTGAATCAAAAGTTCCGGAGCTCCTTTTCCTAAATCAGCTTCACAAACTCTCCAATTTTGTGCGGATTGGAATATTTAAGATGTGCAAAAATTGCGGTAGAAAAGGAACAGCAGAGGAAAACACCAGTACAAAAGCCAAGTCTGCCTATTATCTCTAGAACCTCAGGCCTCATTTTTACTTTTAAAATAAGATTTCTAGAATAAAAGATTTCAGTTTTTTCCCCCCATTCCTACAAGTTTTTAAGTTTTTTGAGGCTGGTTTTTGAAAGCAAGGACTATGTAAAAAGTTTTATCTTGGTATCTCTGTAACTCCTGGAACTGAAGAATAGAACTCTATGTATTTGAATACAGATGTTGGATAAGATTAACTGACTGGAATGAATCATCCTGGGTGCTCTGTTGGTTTGTCTGTTTGTTTTCACTATTTCACCTTCTAGGCTTTGGCCTTTCTTGGGGACCTAAAGGAAAGGATAGAAACTAGAATCTGAGGCTATGCACTCCTATTAACCCAAAATACTTCTGATACTCACCATATTTGTGAGTTTTCCACACCACGCCGCTCTCCAAGTCTCTGTGGACACCAATGGGGTGTGCTCCAGTGTAACTCAGTTCCATAGTAACTACTCAAATTTAATGCAGACCCCAAAAGTCAGGGGCCCAGTCCCGCAAGAATGCTCCCCACTTCAGACACTAATCAAAAGTTGGGGTCTCCAGTACCTCTGACTATGCAACTATTAACTAGAGGTTCCCACAACTCCCCCTGCTCTGGTTCTAATTTGCTAGAATCAGCTCACAGAACTACTGTGCTGTGCTTACATTTTCTGGTTTATTGTAAAGGATACAAACTCAGGAACAGCCAAATGGAAGAGATGCGTAGGGCAAGGTATGGGTGATGGACACCAACTCAGAAGCTCACAGAATCCCATTGTTTAGGGTTTCTTAGTGGAGATTTCATTACATAGATATGATTTATTAAGTCTTAAGTCTTTGGTCATCTCTCATTAGCTCATCCTTCAACCCCTATCCCTTCCCTGGAGGTAGGACAGTTAGGTTGAAAGTTCTAAACCTCTAATCACATAATCAGTTCTCCTGGCAACCAGCCCCCACCCTCCAGGAGTCGGTCGTTAGCATAAACTCCTATGGAAAGAGGCTTGTTGGGATACCTGGGTGGCTCAGCAGTTGAGTGTCTGCCTTTGGCTCAGGGAGTGATCCCGAGTCCCAAAAGGGGCTTCCTGCATGGAGCCTGTTTCTCCCTCTGCCTGTGTATCTGCCTCTCTCTCTCAATCTCATAAATAAATAAATAAATAAATAAATAAATAAATAAATAAATAAATAAAATATTAAAAAAAAAAGGCTTGTTGTGAATGACAAAAGACCCTCCTATCCCCAATCATTCAACAAAATACTAGGGTGCTAGGAAGGAGGACAAAGACAAAATATATATTTATTACATTACAATATTACAGAGGATACAAGGGAAAAGACTGAAGAACAAATACAAATTATGGCATTGAAACACCCTGGCTCAGTTACAAGACTTGAGCTCAAGCTATCTCCTTGCAATTTTGGTAAGTTTGTGCTATAGCCATCCAGGAAATTGGGGGACCTTCCCTTCCAATAAATGGACTCCCACAACATACAGTGACCTTCTGAACATTTCCTGTAGTGTTTATCTGCCAGAACTCCCTACACTGATCACTCTTGTACGGTGTGCTCAACACACTGATTAAAATACATGAACTTTTAATACAGTTGGGCATCACTGATCATAAACTTGACAAGTTAGGTAAATACCAAGGAAGAAGAGAGTTCACATTGTATAGAGGGCACTTTTGTTCCACTTCAGGCTATAACCCTATTAATAACTTACTGACTCTTAGTAAAGAAGGTCCCTTGCACTAGAAATGAGTTCCACTAGGCTAAAACCAATCTTTAACCGCAAGACTGATGGAATTATAGTTTTCTTAGATTGTCCCCATAGACTTTTTAAAAATGAATCTCGTCACCAATCCTGCCCCCAGTAAAAGAACATGTAAGTAGTACAGAGAAAGCTCAAATGCCGGCTTCATCCATTTACTAGTTATGTGGCCTTAGGCAGGTCACGCAATCTCCCTGACCACAGTGCATTCATCTGTAAAATAGGGAGAATAATCTTTCGCTTTAGAATTGTCATAAAGGAGAGGGAGACTTCATCCAATAGCAAGCTCTTGTCTCATATCTCACTTCTAAGTGCAATTTCTCCAGCTCAGAGTGTGAAAGCCACCTATGGGCTTGGAAGCCAAAGAAATCTTAATTTAACTTCCATTTCTGACACTTTGTAAACTGAAGATTTGGTTAAGTCACCTAAGTTTCCTGGGCTTGTTTCTTACCTGATAAACTTGGCTATTGGTGCTTATTTCATAGACTTATTGAGCATATTGAATAGTAACAGCTATCTCAGTGTGCCAGATACCATTTTAACCCTTCCTGCACATCATTTAATTCTCAAAATGATGAAGGATATTTGGAAGAAAGGCAAGCAGGGACAAGGCCCCCGGCTCCCGCCAAGAGGAAACCACCCTAAAGAGGATTTTACACCACCCTGGAAGGAGCCCTCCACCCTTTCCCATATGACAAAAACCTAGCTGGGTTATGGGCACAGGGAAGGTTAATCAGATTAAAACAACCCCATAAAAATCCCTAGACCTAACCGCCAAATTGGCAACTCTCTTGGGTCCCCTCCCTCTTTGGGGGCTTTGTACTATCACTTAATAAACTTTGGCTTTGCTGCCCACCACTCTGTCTGGTCTACCTATTCGTTCTTCAGAGCTGGGTGACCAAGAACCATGGGCACCAAAGGAAAAGAAGTCCTGTAATAAAAACACCCTTTTGATGGGTGGGGATGATGAAAGTCAAGGGGGTTAAGCCCCTTGCCCAGGGGCCCCCAACCAGTGGGGGAAGAGTTGAGGATTTGATTGCAGATCTCTCTGACATCAATGCCCTTATTTCTAACCCTTCTGCCCAGCCACACTGAATATTCTTTGGGGATAACTAGTATATGATTCAAAGGTCCTCACAGTCTGTGCTGACGCCCTTCCGTCTCCACCGTCTTTTAAGCTTGCTTCTTCCAGGCTCCTGACCAGCCAGCTAAGCCTTTTGCTACTACTGCCCTTGTCCATGTACATTCTCCTCTTGAGTCAGTTCTCTCCCACACAAAATAAATGACAAGGAACACTGCCTCAACTTGCCCACTAGGAAGATCACTCTCACCCTGAGTAGGTCTGCAGCGAAATAGCAGTCCATTTTCCTCTTGCATGCACAGACCCAGCCTATTAACCTTCAATCACATTCAGGGGTTTCCTCCTGTGTCATCTGGGCAAGGGGTACTTCCCATGGATGAAGGAAGAGGCATTGGGTACAAAGGTAGTAAGAGAATGAGGATCTGGGCCATCTGTTCAGGCAGCTTACAT